CCAGCTGTTGAGGGCACATCACATTACTAGTTCTTAGTGCACTGTTGGTCTTTGAAATGCTGATTGATCTCTATGTTGTTGCAGTTATTATATATTTTTATTCAGGTATTTTTTAAATAATCATTGGTTTTTTATTAAGTGTATATATGCTTCTTGATAATAATAGCATCAGTGTTTGGATGAGTAAACTTTATTACCTACTCGTTTGGACTGGAACACCGTTTCTGAAATTTGGCAACTTTAAGATATGTAGACTTTAACTCCCAGAACTCCCCAGCCAGCAGGTAATGCTGGCCCTGCCAGAGTTTTTGACTCTGCATCAAACGTAGCGTTTTCTGACTTATGCCAGCTCAAACCCCACTAGTCTTCAATTTGTGTGTGACATTTCAATCATCTATAACTGAAACCCTCCACCCAAAATGACTGCTGGAGCTATGGTGGGAATCTACTTTTCTTCTTGTCTCTGGTCACCTCCCCCACGGCCAATTTTAACAAAATTCAATGAAATAGTGCGAAGATGTGCCTCTTTTTTGATCCATGAAATTGACAAGATTTCATGTGAAATTGACCACAATCCAGATCAGTGTTTCTCAGCCTTTGCAATTTTAAAATATGTGGCCTTCAACTCCCAGAATTGCCCAGGCAGCCATCTTAAAGTTGCCAAGGTTAAGAAACATTGATCTAGATCAGGGGTGTCAAACTCACAGCCCTCAGGCTGGATACCTCACGTGCTGGCCCCACCCCTGCCCTTGTTTAGTGAAGGGGGAAAAAGTCCCAATACATCATGTGACACCGCAAGTTCGACACCTCTAATCTAGATGCTTTCTCTTTCTGGCCTGTGGTATAGAAAAATGGCAAAACCATTGTGTTTTCTTCCTTTGTTTAAAAAAAAAACAACCAGTCCTGGAGGGCTTCTTTATAAGCAGGGAAACTCATCCATGGTCCAGTGAGAACATCAAGCCATCACTTTGGCCAAAGCAAAGGAGGGAACAGAAATATAGAAAAGGACTTCTTTAGCCAGATTCATTTCCAGATGCATGACAGGTAGGATAGAATTAGATAAAACCTGCAGTGTGGCAAATCCCTTAGTTAATTCTGGCCTCAAAAATCAGAAACAATATGCTTTATAGACTAGCATTATGAAACAACAGAGGAAGCAAACTATTACCCTCCTGAGGGCATCTGAGTGGCTATTGTATGATGTAGAATACTTGAGTTTTTAACGTTACCTGTCTCACCTCTTTCTGCACAGTGATGTGAATTAAGCCCAAGAGAGGTGAGCAAGGAGAGAGAGGGCCTGGGGACAGTGAAAAGAAAGCTGACTCATTTGTGAATTGGAACCCACTGAGGATATTTGCTCTAAAGGTCCTTCAAAATAAAGGTGCTTTCCTTTCCAAGTCCATCACAACTGTTGAGGTAATTCCCCGTTAGGAGAATGAGCGCATACAGGGAGACATATAGAGAGTAGTGTAGGAATAATACACACAGAGCACACAGATACACTGTACAGTAAATGTAGGTTTTTACTTCCAGAAAGGTTTAAGCAAAGTCCAAACAAGAAATCCAAAGTCATTCACAAGTTAAATCAGTCAGTTTTCATCCAGTGATGATCCAATAACAAATTCCAGTGTCAAAAACAGTTCAGTATCAGACTTACATTAAATCCAGTAATATCAGTCAATTAGAAGAAATGGAGCAACGGCAATACTTTCCAACAGAAGAAAACAGAGATACTCACTCAGACACACTCTCTTCTGAGACTAAGACTAAAACAATCCAGGTTTCTGGCTCCATCTTATGGATGTTTGAAAAACCACACCCAATTGCATGCTCTTGCATTCCCTTAAAGATATAGTATCAAAACGTTCATCCTGGTTTATATATTTCTAACCCAAATACCTGTTAGGTGACTTATATTCCTAACAAGAACCATATGCAACAACCCTAATCTGGATGATTGAGAATCTCCATAGACACGTCCTTCAAAATAAAGGGGCCGTATCGTGCTGGCAGAGTGTTGAACTTGTCAATCAGAAAGGTTGGCAGGTCAGCAGATCGAATCCCTAAGTGCTGCATAATGGAGTGAGCTCCTGTTACTTGTCCCAGCTTCTGCCAACCTAGCAGTTCAAAAGCATGTCAAAATGCAAGTAGAAAAATAGGGACCATTTGGTGGGAAGGTAACAGTCTTCCATGCGCCTTAGGCATTTAGTCATGTTGGCCAGATGACCATGGAGATGTCTCTAGACAGCGCTGGCTTTTTGGCTTTGAAACGGAGATGAGCACTACGCCCTCGAATTGGGAACAACTAGCAGATATGTGCGAGGGGAACTTTACTTTTACCTTATCATCGCCAAAGCATTGCGTTGCCAGTTTTGTTTCCCTGTTTGCTTTCCTTCCTCAAACATGGTTCTCTTGCAAGGCTTTCAAACCTGTAGAGCAATTTCCCCCAATCTTTGGTCTTTCAGGTGTGCAGGAATATTATTTCCATCCTTCTGAGCCAGTTTGTTTACTAGCCATGGAGAACTCTGAACTGGGAAAGGCTCCTTAATGATGGTGATGAAATGAAGGTTAGGTCAGACAGTCCTGGTTTTGGGAGGGGTGGAGTACAGTTCCTTCTGGTCCCCAACACCTCCTCTCATAAAGATTTCCTTCTTCCACTCTCCTTCCCAGGATTCTTCCACTTTCTTCCTCCATGGTCCAGTATAGGTAGTCCTCGACTTACAATCAAGATCAAGTGAGGTACTAATACCACTCTATATAGCCTTAGTAAGATCACACCTAGAGTACTGCATCCAGTTTTGGTCACCACACTATAAAAAAGATGTTGAGACTCCAGAAAAAGTACAGAGAAGAGCAACCAGGATGATTAGGGGACTGGAGACTAAAACATATGATGAACAGTTGCAGGAACTGGGAATGGCTAGTCTGGTAAAGAGAAGGACCAGGAGAGACATGATAGCAGTCTTTCAATATTTGAGGGGCTGCCACAGAGAGGAAGGGGTCAAGCTATTTTCTAAAGCTCCTGTAGGTCAGACAAGGAACAATGGATGGAAACTGAACAAGGAGAGATTTAACCTAGAAATAAGGAGAAATTTTCTGACAGTGAGAACAATCAACCAATGGAACAGAAGTTGCCTTCAGAAGTTGTGGGAGCTTCATCACTGGAGGTTTTCAAGAAGAGATTTGACTCCCATCTGTCAGCAATGGTGTAGGGTCTCCTGCTTGGGCGAGGATTGGACTAGATGACCTACAAGGTCCCTTCCAACTCTGATTATCTGTTATCTGTTTATGACTATAATTAAGTCCAAAATTTCTGCGGTTCAGTGAGACATATGTTAAGTGAGTTTTGCCTCATTTTATGACCTTTCTTGCCACACTTGTTAAGTGAATCACTGCAGTTGTTTTAGTTAATAACACGGTTATTAAGTGAAACTAGCTTCCCCGTTGACTTTATTTGTCACAAAAGCGGACAAGCAAAAGGGGATCACATGAGCAACAGTCATAAATATGAGTCAGCTGCCAAGCATCTGATGTCATCATGGGAATGCTGCCAGTGTTGTGTGAAAAATGGTCGTAAGTCATTTTTTTCAGCGCTGTTGTAACTTTGAACGGTCACTAAATGAACTGTTGTAAGTAGAGGGCTACCTGTACCAATCGAGAAGGAGAGACACAACCATACAAAAACCAAGCAGAGAATGCTTAGCCCATTTCTATGGACATCCATTAATACTAAAGGAATCTTGTCCATCTTCTCCATATTTGTAAGCAATCATCTATCAAATAATAGCAATAGCATTTAGCAATAGCACTTATACTTATATAATGCTTCATAGTGCTTTACAGTGCTCTGTAGTTTGACCCCAACAATCTGGGTCCTCATTTTACCGAACTCGGAAGGATGGAAGGTTGAGTCAGCCGGTGAGGATCGAACTCCTGGCAGTCGGCAGAATTAGCCTGCAATACTGCATTCTAACCACTGTGCCACCACAGCTCCTGTAATAAATCTCTTTGAGGATGTATCTCCCAACATTCTACTAAAAAGAGGTCAGACATACTGATGAGGGGTAAATTCCTCTCAGTGCCCACGATATCATTTAAAATGAAGATTAAACAAGCAATAAAAATCAGGATAAAGAATTGGAAATTTCAGAGACAGAGACAGCCTACCTCTTTCTGCCAGGTCCTCTTGATGTTGCCTTCATTTTATTAATTTTAGTAGCCTGTTAATTACGGGCTGCTCATTTTATTATTTTGGCAGCTTTAAGTTATCCCTTGCTGTGCATGTATTAAAATAGTCTTTTCCCACAACTTCAACACCATCCAAGGACAGTCCCAGATGTATAAAATATATTAAGCTTTGACATCCAAGGGGAAGTCAGGTGACTGAGGGACTTGAAATGGAGTTTACAGAAGCAAAAAAACTCAGCAGCAGAGGCAACAAATTTCATGCCAGCGCAATTTTTTGCCAGCTTAAAGATAGATGAAAAGCACTTCAGCTCGGGGATATATAATATTCATTAATTTACAAATTTTATTACTTATGTTTCTTTTCCCTCAGAGTCTCAGAGGCAGCCTCTCTCTTCATTTTGTCCTCAGAATAAAAACACTGAGATAGGTTGGGCTGAAAAGTAGTGATTTATTTAGGGCAGCTTGAAGCTGGCTTTTCCTAGTGCTAGTCCAGTCCTTTAACCAACAAACCTTACTGGTTTGCTTTGATCTACTTAATGCCAGGCCAACCCGTGGAACATGCTGCATCTTGAGAAACACATCCATTTCCACAGTAAATCCCTACCCTTTCAATTCAAGATCTCCAAGACAAAGAACATACACCTTCATTCTTTTCCTGTAATAAATCATCTCTAAGTGGCATCCAGAGAATGCCAGTCCAGGTGAGACATTTTACAACTCTCCTCTCCCTATTGACTTCTTTGTTCCGGTGGATTTGCTTGATTGCTTACATTCAATGTATCTCTCCCTCTTGAAAACTAGCCTTACCTGTTTGCTGCCAGCCCTCCCTTGCCCCCTTTCCATTGAGGAAGAAGAATACATGGCGGTTCCAAAAATGGATGAGATGTGTGGGCGAGGCCTAATAAGGCAGGACCACAAGTGAGGTGGCGAGGGGGGAAAGAAACGTCTCTATTCAACTTTTGCACAGACACTTTTGCAGGACAGAGAAGGAGACAAGATGATGGACGTGCTGGCAGTCTCCATGGTACTTTTGATTGGGATAACAATCCATGCTGTGCATGCGGAAGGTAAGAGGCTTGTTGCTTGGCTGTCGATTCCATGGGAAATTAATGAAATCCTCATTTGGAATTGAGGGTATAACAGATACAGTGCTATGTCTCTCATCGAACATCCTCAGGCTAAACAGGCATTCCTCAGCAAAATGCAAATTCTTTAGGGTAGATGGGAAAAGGATGTTGGCTATGTGTCAATATTCCGTATGAAACCTGGCGAAAGATGGAGAGTAGGGAGAAATGTTAATGAAGCTAAGCTTCATTGATTTATTTCCTGCTAAAAATGTTTTGGTAAACCAGTCAGTGTGGTGGGTATATGGTTCAATGTATTACGCTGATCCAGAAAATTAATTAAATCAGCAATCAAATTAAGCATATTGTGCGAACATGGCCTTTAGACGGCAATTTCTACCTCTTGCTAATTATGACTTGTTCTTTTAATGGACAGATTATTAACAAGGCCCCTGTTTTTCACTGTTCATGAAGAAAATATTAATCAATGTATAAGTGATTTGGTGGAAAGAGAATGAACATTGATTTGCATAGAGAACTTTCCTAAAATAAGGTGAAAAATCAGGACCTAATTATGAAAAGGTCCGTCCATTCTCCAGTTTCTGTTTTTAAAGAAGAAAAAATGGCATTTTTCAAGGCATTTTTACACTTTCAATGACATTTTAAATTAATACATAGCATAAACTGTTATTGACAACAACTTGGTTCAGCAGATCTTGACATAAAACAGATGAAAGCAAAGTGGAAAAGCTACTTGAAAGTCAATCAATGGAAAATATTCCCACTTCTTTAATAATTAAGACAACGAAGAATCTTTGTAATACATTTAGTAATCATAATCTAACTGATGTCCTAGAATCTCTAGATTTATATGGACAATATTCTGATTGATGTCCTGTTTAGTTTTTTTGGGTAATATGCTCATTCAAACAACTAAAAGGACAAAGAGTTTCTATTTTAAAAGTAAGATTTCTTTCCAGATAAACTTTGTTTCTATTCTATTTTTGTGAGGGAGAACTAAAGTTATGGTTTGTGATACAATAAACAAGGTTATATAACCTTCATTTATTACAGGGTGTTTCAAATTAATGTTGACTTTGGGTGATTGCCTAGACAAATACCTGCAAGACTATGATTCAGTATTCTAAGACCATCTCCAAGTGTTCAAAGTCTTGACTGCTATACTTGACTGGTGGCGCAGTGGTTAGAATGTAGTACTGCAGGCTACTTCAGCTGCCTGTCGGCTGCCTGTAATTTGGCAGTTCGGATCTCACCAGGCTCAAGGTTGACTCAGCCTTCCATCCTTCTGAGGTTGGTAAAATGAGGACCCAGATTTTGGGGGGCAACAGGCTGATTGTCAGCTTGAATCACCCCCCCCCCATTCTCTCAGACTGTGTGGCAACGTGAAATATGGCTTCTAAAGCTGACAGGCGTCCCCCCCTTGAGAATCTGTCACTGACTCTGTAAACCACTTAGAGAGGGCTGTAAAGCACTGTGAAGCGGTATAGAAGTTTAAGTGCTATTTCTATCCCAGCCACCAAGGACGAAATTCAAATTTTTTTCCCTACCGGCTCTGTGGGTGTGGCTTGGTATAATAGTAATAGCAACCAGGAGCAATCGGGCATTCTTTTACCAATTCAAATCATCCCTACTACCTCTCCCGAGGTGGGCCGAGGTGGTTGAATTTCACTCCTGCCAGCCACCTTTCTCATGGATGGTTGGCTGATGATTCTTGACAGTCTGAGCTTCCCTCGTGTGCATCTCACTCAGCACAAGCTTACCTGCAACCTTGGCTTATAGTCAACCACCGCTCCCTTTAAATGCACACTCAAAAGACACTTGGGTAAGTGCAGTGAGTTTTGATAGATTTTTAAACCAAGAGTTTCTGGAGCAAGTCAAGATTTTTTGCAGAATGATATGTACATCATGATGTCTCTTTCCTTATTTACATGTGTGAGACATCCTGACCCGAGTGTAAAGAGTGAAGCTAGCATCACCGTTCGTATTTCATCATGGCCCCCATTCTTCCCTATGGATGTCCATGGTTAAAATTGATGGTATATCCATGTATTCAAATTTATCTCTTCCCCAGCCGAGTCAGAAGGGGCTTGGAGGTCTTCTAGTCCAACCCCCTGCTTAGGTAGGAAACTCTATACCAGTTCAGACAAATGGCTATCCAATCTCTTCTTTAAAACCCCCAGTGCTAGAACACCCACTGGTTAATTGTTCTAACTGTCAGGAAATTTCTTCTTGGTTCTAGGTTGCTTCTCTCCTTGATTAGTTTCCATCCATTGCTTCTTGTCCTGCCCTCAGGTGCTTTGGAAAATAGCTTGACTCCCTGTTCTTTGTGGCAGCCCCTTAGATATTGGAACACAGCTATCATGTTACCCTTACTCCTTTTCATTAAACTAAACATACCCAGTTCTTGCAATCGTTCTTCATATGTTTGTGTTTGTCCCCTAATCACTTTGTGGCTCTTCTTTGTACCCTTTCTAGAGTCTCAACGTTTGTTTATATTGTGGAGATCAAAAATGGATGCAGTATTTTAAGTGTGGTGTTACCAAGGCATTATATCGGGGTACTAACACTTCACGTGATCTTGATTCTATTCCTCTGTTAATGCAGCCTACTGCCTTGGCTTTTTTGGCTGCCGCCGCATACTGCTGGCTCGTATTTAAGTTATTGTCCACTAGAACTCCAAGATTCCTTTCACAGTTACTATGGAGCCAGGTAGCATCTATACCGGGGGTTTGTCAAACGCACATTATCACAGCGTCGTCATGTGATGTATCGGGACCTTTTCCCCCTTCACTAAACCGGGCGTCGGCTGGGAGTTTGACAGGCCTGATCTATACTATACCTGTGCATTTGGTTTTTCTTGCCTAAATGTAGAACCTACCTTTTTTTCACCATTGAATTTTATTTTGTTGGATAGGGCCTAACGTTCAAGTCTGTATATTGAGGCTATCTTGAGTCTATCCTCTGGAGTATTTGCTTCAGATCTTTCTCTTCAGAATGGTGATGTCTGGTGAGAGGGGCAGGAAACAAAACCAAGAAACCCAGCTGATTCCTGTTTTAACGTGCCTTTACCCCATAAATCAACACACGCTATTTGCTAACCTAGGGCCTGAAGTTGAATAGGAATCCACCAAGAAGCAACGTGTTTTATGCCACAAAAAGGTTTCTGCTAACTCAGGAACTTGTAGACAACATTTTAATTAGATGTCAAGGAAAAGCCCACTTCTCAAAATATGCAAAGCAATGCTAGGGTTTACTGAACTTTATGAAGGTGGGGTTAGACTAAGCGTTAGGGTCTCCCATTTTGGGTCTTCATCCTCCAGCATGCTCATGGGGGATGATATTAAAAACAAACGGGGGAGAGATATTGTAGTGTATTCTCAACCACCAATGTCCACAGGGATGGTTTTAAAAAGACCGATTGGAAGCCCCCACGATGTACTCAAATTCCCTCTCCTTTGTACAGGAACACAAATAAAAGGGGCAGGATTTTGATGGCAGTGCCACGGCCATAATTCCCCCCCCCTTTTGACTGTCCTGTGTAGATTAGGAAACACCACTACTCATTTCCTTACTGCTCTAGCTTCCTACTCCTATGTTCAAATCTAGAAGGGAAAACCATTTGAGTACAGGTGCTATAGAGAGACCAGGCTAACAGGTATAATTTTCCTATAGCTGGTCCTCGACTTACGACCACAATTGATCCCCAAAATTCTGGTATTAAATGAGACCGTTGTTGAGTGAGTTTTGCCCCATGTTACAACCTTTCATGCCACAGTTGTTAAGTGAATCACTGCAGTTGATAAGTTGGTAACATGGTTGTTAAGCGAATCTGGTTTCCCCCATTGACTTTGCTTGTCAGAAGGTCGCAAAAGGGGATCACATGACCTTGGGACACAGCAACGGTCACAAGTATGAACCAGTTGCCACGGACCTGAATTTTGATCACGTGGTCATGGAGAGGCTACAAAGGTTGTAAGTGTGAAAAAATGGTCGTAAGTCACTTTTTTTTCAGTGCCTTTGTAACTTTGAACGGTCACTAAATGAACTGCTGTGAGTCGAGGACTACGTGTACATGCTTGGGAAAAAATAATAACAGGATTTCACCTTAATTCCGTTTGATCCAAGTCTTTGGTTTGACCAACACATTGAATCTACTCACACCTCAAGGTTAACTAGTATCATGGAAGCATAGAATCTAATGGACCTTATAACTCTTCTAGTCCAAAGCAGAAGTCCTTAGTCCATCCCAGATAAATGGCTGTCCAATCTTTTCTCCTTCTTCTCTGGGAGGCAAGCTGTTCCATTGATTAATCATTCTCACTGTCCGGAAATTTATCCTTTGTTTCACTTTCCGAAGAGCTTCCACCACAGGTGGGATGCTACCGGTTTGGTTTGGTTCTATAGAACCGGTAGCTCTGAAGAGCAGCAGACACAGAACCAGTTCACTGGAACAATCTTTTGTTCATCTGTTTGGCCTACCTGCCCGCCCGGACTCTTGGCTGTCCTTTATTTCCTGCTTTTTCAACCTCAGCTGCTTTGCACGGCACAGCTGAGGTTGAAAAAGCAGGAAAGAAGAGGGTTTTCAAATGCTGCGCGCCCACACACAGCGCTTGTCCGCTGTCTGGACAGCATTTTGCAAATGCTGTCCAAGCACTCTCACCGAACCAGTAGTAACACCAGTTGAATCCCACCTCTGGCTTCCACCCATTTCTTCTTATCCTGCCCCTCTTCCCTGTGACAACCTTTCAAATAGAAGACCAATATCATATAACATAAGAATGATCGCATGCCATATGTGCAGAAATGACCTCGACTGGTTGTAATGGTCTAGGATTCCTGCACTGACAATGGATTGCAAAAGAGAAGGCTGAACATTGATTATAATTATAGTAATAATAATAAAATCCTGGATTTTTTTCCAGGTACACTCTCAGTTTAACTTTATAGTCAGAACAGAGGAAGCACATAGGCTGCTCCGATTAGACACCCAATGCTTCTGCTTGTTATGCTAAACATATTGTATCTAGTTCATTGTAGGGTTTAGCCTCCAGACCAGTGGTGGTATTCAAATTTTTTTTACTACCAGTTCTGTGGGCATGGTTTGGTGGGTGTGGTGTGGCTTGGTGGGCATGGCAGGGGAAGGATACTATAAAATCTCCATTTCCACCCCACTCCAGGGGAAGGATATACTGTAAAATCCCCATTCCCTCCTCACCCCACTAACCTGCTTTCCAGTTCCGTTCTCCTGTGCAGGGCAACGAAAGAAAACCCAGCTGATCAGTGAAGCAGTGAATAGATGGGAGTGAGGCCAACTTAAAGTGGTATTTACCAGTTCGCCGAACTACTCGAAATTTCCGCTACCAGTTCTCTAGAACCTGTCAGAACTGGCTGAATACCACCTCTGCCCCAGACCCTTATCATCTTTGTTGCTCTTCTTTACAATCCAAGATTTATTTTTATTTTTACTTCTTGGATTTTTTATTTTATTTTACTTCTTGGCTTGCAGCAAGATGAGTGGCAAACAAAGTTAATAAATAAAAATACTGTAACATATTTTTTTATTTTACTTATCAATATTGCAACAACAATAACAATAGCGCATGGGAAATATTTTTTGTTTTGGTGGGGGAAAAAAAAGGTCTTTCAACAGTGGAAAAACATTTTTCTTAGATACAAAAATCGGAGGCCTCTCAAATATTTTAAGTATTTTGGACTTGAGCTTCAAGCAGCCCTCAACGTAACTACCGTACTCTAGTTTCCAAACTCAAGATTTTTTTCTCTGCGCAGCTCAGATTTTAATCTCATCTCCCTTCCCTTACTGCTTATCTACTTTTAATACAATTTCGATAAACAAGAGGTGTTAGGAGAATGCTTTCATTTTTTAAATCTCCGATGATTAATCCACTGCAGAAAGTATTAAATGGAGAAGCCTTTGCGCTGGGAGGGCTGAATGCAGAGGAAAATTCATTTTGCTTTCTTTTTTTTTCCAGAGCTGGTTGACTACACCCCTCATCTCACTTCTGAGGAAATGGCAGGGAAGATCACAACTTCCACTTTTGTCCTACAGCAACCAAATTGTGTTTTCAAGGAGGTTGCCAGTCCCACGGATCAGATCTGGCTGGTTGTGGGTCTTAGTGAAGGTGCGTTACGATTCTTAGCAATGTACTAGTAATAATTTCTAAAAGAGAGAGAATAACCAATACGAAGTGGCCCCTTCTAGAAAAAATAGGTCTACATCACAGTTGCAATTACTAGATGTATTGATTGATTGATTATATATTTATTGTTACTGAAAAATACTAACCCCCGTTAAACTCTATAAAAACCAGGTGATGTGGTCAGTAACCTTACTGTGCAAATTAAATTCCTGTGCAGTACTTTTTGAGCTGTATGAGCCGCGGTGGTGCAGGGGTTAGAATACAGTACTGCACGCTACTTCTGCTGCCTGCCGGCTGCCTGCAATTTGCCAGTTCAAATCTCACCAGGCTCAAGGTAGACTCAGCCTTCCATTCTTCCAAGGTGGGTAAAATGAGGACCCCGATTGTTGGGGGCAAGAGGCTGACTCTGTAAACCACTTAGAGAGGGCTGTAAAGCACTGTGAAGCAGTATATAAGTCTAAGTACTATTGCTAACTGCTATTTATGCATAGGACAGTCCTCTTTTTAAAGATTATTCTTGTTTCAAAGATAATGTATGGTTACAGTCTCTACTGTATGATCCAGTTTAGCTCCAAGGCAGACCATTGCATTAGATAAAGCTTTGGAAGTGCCATCTTCACTTCAGCTGGGATTGGATGGGGAATTACAATCCCCAGTTTCCAACAGTGTGAATTAAAATTTAACCAGCACATCAATGATTTTCAGCAATGGGATTAGAGGAGGGTGGGAATTAAAATAGGTATTAAGCCTTCATTAAGATCAATAACTTTATCTTATTTTTTATTCCGAGACAAGCCTCCAAACAAGAGTTGGATATTTCAGGAGTGTACTTTCCAGTGACATTGCAACAACATAACCCATCTCCCCATTCCCAACTTTTTCACTCTGGCAATGTGCATAGACTTGTTCCCAAATGAACTTAACAACTGCAGAGTATGAAAGGAAAACAGCTGGGCTGGACCTCAATTGGATGTTAAGGGAATTTACTTTATCCTAAGGAATGATTGCATGCCATATGTGCAGAAATGACCTCTACTGGTTATAATGGTCTAGGATTCCTGCACTGACAATAGATTGCAAAAGAGAAGGCGGAACATTGATTATAATTATAGTAGTAATAATAAAATCCTGGATTTTTTTCCAGGTACAGTTGATTAGTTTGCATCCAGCACACTCTCAGTTTAACATTATAGTCAGTACAGAGCAAGCACATAGGCCGCTCAGATTAAACACCAAAAAAACCAATATATCTTTGGTGTTAATCATAAATATCAGCAAGCACCAAAACAGTAAACTGGCAAAGCTGGACAAAAGGCAGGCAAAAGCTCAGAATATGAGAAAGAGGAACAACAAGCAATGATTTATATTGTATACACATTTAACTACAGGTAGTCCTCAACTTACAACCAGCCACTTAGCAACTGTTCGAAGGACCTACCTGGAAGTTACTTGTGACCTAGATTCAAAGTTGCCCTTCCAGTGGTGGGATTCAAATGTTTTTACTACTGGTTCTGTGGCCATGGCTTGGTGGGCGTGGCAGGGGAAGGATACTGTAAAATCCCATTCCCTCCCCACCCCACTAACCTGCTTTCCAGCTCCATTCCCCTGTGCAGGGCAACAAAAGAAGACCTAGCCGATCAGCTGGAACTCAGGAGGCAGAGAATAGGTGAGGGTGAGGCTAGTCAGAGGTGGTATTTTCCGGTTCTCTGAACTACTCAAAATTTCTGCTACCAGTTTTCCAGAACTGGTCAGAACCTGCTGAATACCACCTCTGCGCCCTTCCCCACTACAATCATATAATTGCACTTTGGACGCTAGGCAACCTGGCCACATTAATGTCCAGTTTCAGTGCCCCATCCTCATATGACAATGATTTACTATGTATTTCCCAAAAACTGATGTTTACTTCTGTTTTTTGGCAAAATCAGCTTATAGTGAGCCATAGTTTCACTTAACAACCAAAACATTTGCTTCACTAAACTACTGCATACTTGAATAATGACCTTCACAAAAAGGTTAAAAAAATGGGTTGGCCATGTGACTGACCCACTTTACAACTATCACAACTTATAACCATGATAAGCAGGCTTCATTACAGTCATAACTCGAAGACTATGTGTATCAAAAAGACAGTACTTTCCAGAACCACTGGAAACAGGACTATGTGGGTAATAAGCATGGGCTGTCCCAAAGGGAATGGCCTTTGGTTATTCCAGTTGTTACCCTTTTAATACAGGGATCCTCAAACTACGGCGCACGGGCCGGATACGGCCTGCCGAAGCCATTAATCTGGCCTGCACGGGACCACGAGGCTGCCCTGCCCACATCGCCCCACCTACCCACTGGTTCCCACCCACCTTCTGGAGGCTAGGGAAGCCAAAAATGGGGTGCATGGAGGCCTTGGGAAGCCAAAAAGTGTTACTGGAGCCAGGGGAGGCCAAAAATGGACCTGTTTTTGGCCGGCAGAGTGGTACTGGAGGCAGGGGAGGACTGGATTGTAGTAGGAGGGCCACCTGCAGGATTTCCCTACCGACCAGCTGGTCTTCAGCACACCACTTGTTGGCCTCCAGACGTCAGATTCCCACCATCCAGTACCAATTCAGGGGTTCCTTCCCCCCCCCCCCACCCAAGAGAGGGAGAGAGGGAGGGGAGGGAGGGAGGGAGGAAGGGAGAAGTCCCTCACTTACACCCCAAGGCAGCCACTTCCCTTCACTAACCTGGTTTCCACCCCCAGGAGTATAACGAATTAAAGTTTAATTTGTGTGTATTGTTTAATGGACTGCTAACTTGGCCATGCCCACCCAGTCACATGACCACCTCACCACACCCACTCAGTCACATGACCACCTAGCCATGCCCACCCACCCAGTCTGGACCTCCAACAGTCTGAGGGACCATGAATTGGCCCCCTGTTTAAAAAGTTTGAGGATCCCTGCTTTAATATACTTAACAATAACTGAATAAGATGGAAAGAAGGCTTCCAGGTATTCCCCCTTTCTATCACGATTCCCGTGTTCCAGGGGATTCTCCTGTTACCAAGTGATTCTCCCTGCTTGTACCAGGTGATTTTATTTGCTCTATTGTGCCGTTGTGCTACTGGTTGGACTATTGTACTATGTTCTGCATGGGACTGTCCCATGGGTGGGATTCAAATTTTTTAACAACTGGTTCTGTGGGCATGGCTTAGGTGGTGGGTGTGGCTTGGTGGTCATGTGACTGGGTGGACATGGCTTGGTGGTCATGTTATTGGCTGGGTGTGGCCAACTCAATATCACTCACATCGAGGCACGCATCTCCTCCCCTGGCCTCTCATGACTGTGGAGATGCTGCAAGAGTCGTAAGTGTGAAAAACAGTCATAAGTCACTTTTTTCAGTGCCATTGTAACTTTGAATGGTCACTCCACACAAGCAAAGTACCAGCAAAGGAGGGGAAAAAACCTCCAGAGAGGTTCCTGAGACAGGAAGTCTAGTCCTGCCAAGAATGTAATAAGGGTTAACGGAGAGGCAGTTTCTGTAAGCAACACCAGAATGTTTCCTTCCTGCTTTCCTTACAGGATTAGGCCAGTAATTTCTTCTAACAACTGGTTCTCCAAACTGCATAGAATGTTAACAACTGGTTCCAGCAAATAGGTGCGAACTGGTAGAATCCCACCCCTGGACTGTCCTTGAAGAGTATCTCTTCATTTGGGTGCAAAATGCAGCAGCATGGGCAGTTAAATGTGTTTCTACCAGAGCACATATTGCATCTCTGCTCAGCATTGATTACCAGTTTGTTTCCAAATCCAATTCAAGATGCTGTTTTAGACCTTTAAAGCCCTACATGGCAAGGGATCGGGTTATATGGCAGATCACATTTCCCCAATGACATCTTCCTGTCCCATCAGATCCACCAGGAGCTATATTTTGTAGGTCATAAATGGTGGGTCTTTTCTGCTGTGACATCCATGTTATAGAATATCCTCCCCCTGAAGTGATGCTGCTTTATCACTTTTGACTTTCTGAAGACTTGGTTTTGCCATCAGGGCCAGGGACACACAGAGACTGGCAAAATATTGAGATTATTCATATCCCTTTGCCCAATATTTCTTCTTAAGCTTTGCTTTTAATGTTTTTAGTAACAATAATAACCACAATAACAATCCTTTGTTATTTGTTAACTGTTGGTTAGCTCTGTTGTACATTACTCAACGTCATTTGTTTTGTGAGATGAATGGTATTAAAATTTGATGATGGTTTGGTGGACAAGGCATGATGGAGCCATCACTGACAACTTCAGCTTTGTTGGAATGGAGAAATAATCATTTGCTCTTTGTCCTTCTAGCTGTACAGAGTTTCAAAAATCTCCCATCGCTCAAGAATCTGACTTACCAATCTTTTGCCACGAATGATTTTTACATGACTTTGAATGTCACAATGTCAAGCTATTCCTGTCCAGAAAACCCCAATGAGATTGCCGTCCTGCGCGTGGGGGCAGAAACTACGTGCGTTACGGATCTTTGGCGGCCATATTGTAATGGTCCTCTCCCAGGTCCCGGACCATACAGGTGAGAAAAGAATATTAAAAGTTTCCCTGAAGTTCTCTATAGCTTACTTCTTCATTGTCTGAATTAATATCAAAATAATACATGTCCATAATACAGAACTGACAACTTTGAACTGTGGTGCTGGCATAAATTGCGGCATATACCATGGTCACCCAGAGTAACTAACAGAGAAGTGTCAAATCATATAAAACCAGACATATCACTGGAAGTTAAAATCATAACACAAAAATCATCTGATTTACTTTCACTATTTTATGTGTGCTAATTCTTTGGAGAAGGCAATGGTGCAAAGAATAGTTAGTGGACAAAGAAGGGGAAAGCAAAGAAAACATTTGATAACATCAAATCTGATGCAAAGTAGAACAACAATTAAAGAAACTCCGCTTGACAGGATAGGATAGGATAGAATAATAGAGTTGGAAGGGATTTTGAAGGGACTTGGGCAGGAAACTGTACAATTTCAGACAAATAGTTATCCAATCTCTTCTTAAAAACTTCCAGTGTTGGAGCATTTACAACAGTGGTGGGATTCCATATTTTTTCCTACTGGTTCTATGAGAGGGCGAAACCGCCTTTTTTGTCAGCACTGGTGGGCTGAGCTTTTTTTTTTTAGCTCAGCTGAGGTGTGGCAATCTGCTCTGCTGCGCGAATCAGCTGAGCTAAATAACAAGGGAATATAGGAAAGGTAATAGCGGGGGGGGGGGGGGGGGGAGGCCAGCCAGAGGTGGTATTGCCGGTCCTCTGAACTACTCAAAATTTCCACAACCGGTATGGCGGAACTAGTCCGAACCAGCTGAATAACACCTATGTGTGTGTGTATGTGTGTGTGTGATGTGTGTGTGTATGTGTGTGTGTGTATATACACAGCAATACACACACACACACATATATCCAAAATCTCCCACACTTTAATGTTTCATTTGCTTTTTTCCTTTGTTTATTTTACTTCTTCCTTCTGCATTTTAATTTTTAACAATAAACTTTAACATGAGGTTTGATTTACACACACTCTCTCTCTCTCTCTCTCTTTCTCTCTCACACACAAATGTGTTATCGAGTATATATCCAAACATTTGACACCTTCATTCTCAATGTTGCTACTCAGAACAAATCTTGTTCAGTTGAGAGAAATCTGTTAAGAATAAAACTATTAATATTGCTAATAAGTGGTGACTCAGCTAAATACACTGGGACATTTTTCAAAGCTCTTTGCTTTTGTTTTTCAGCCCAAGCATTTCCTCTCTTTAAGCATCTTTAAATGCTATTGATGCAAAGGAAGATGTATTTTCCTTTTCCACATAAAAATATCAATACCTATTACACAGTTAACTTTCAGGATAAACAGTGTTATGCAGAGAATTGAAAAGAAGTCAGAAACAATAAGCCCAATAAAGTTAAAGACATGAGATGAGGAAAAGAAAAGATAGATAAATCTGACTTACATCAATACCTTTTACTAATCTGTTCATAGCCTTTTACCATTGCAAATCACCTTTGCTTCCAAGACATGTAGATGTCACTATTTACACTCCCTTTTGTTCTTGAATTTTCCAGTGTTTTGTAACAGTAGATCTAAAATGTGTTCTTCTAAGAAAAAAGCTCAATCAATTATTTAGGTTGCAATAGCTTGTCTTAGGAAATAAAGGCAGTAAATCACCAACAGGATTCATTGTCAAAGGGTTATTTCTCCAAGAAACTTGGACCCCCAAGAATGACTAATTGGATATTGTCACTTAAGGTAATTGTGTTACATTTCCTGTTCATTTCTTGTTAAAAGTCACCTATTTGGGAAGAAATGAGGAAGGGTTTGGTAGCCACATTCTAAGTCCATATAGGTGGTGGGCGATTGGGAGAAAGGAATCCAGTTGAAGATTTATTTTAAAACTGTGAATTGCCTATTTTAGAACTTATTTGTTTATTTATTTTGTCAAATGCTTACAATATAATAGAAAGAAGAATAAACATAAGTTTAAATATAAGAAATAGGAACTAGTAATTGGGGACAATAGGACAGGGACGGTAGGCACGATTGTGCGCTTATGCACGCCCCTTAGAGACCTCTTAAGAATGGGGTCTTACATTACAATTGTCAGGTACTTCCTTTATTGATCTGGGACAATCCATCATCATCATGTGTTCTCCATCTCAGAATGAAGGGACAATGGTCAGTTTTGGTGCTCATGTTCAAAGGAGGGTCCAAAAACCAGAATAAAAGGAAAGTGAAGGTCTTATCCGGCCCAGGAGAAACTGGTTCTCCATCCCTACACAAAACCTGCCCACACCCCACCAAATTTACGAATCAGTTTCACACCCAAAAAAACCCCACATCCTTTTTTTTCCTCACCCTCCCTGTTGTTCAGGGAGAAGGTTTACCTGTAGAACTTTAACTGGAAGTTTTCTATTGATTATTTATTTATTTTTTTAAAAAAAAGTATTCTAGGAGGGTGGTGGCCATGAAGCACTGCTCCATATGCCATGTACATTAGAAACAGGTAGAATTTTGATCTGATGACCATCTTGGCTTTTTGGGACATTTTGCAGACATGCCTGCTCTAATCTCTGATCCCCTGCCAATTCTCCACCGTGCTTGCCTTCTTTTTACAGCTGATGTTCTTGTTAATGACACTTGCTCTGAGTTGCACTTGATTTTAATGAGGTCATTTTATTTTTGCCTTATAACACTGGATGGTTCTCCCCTCCATAATCATTTTCTCACATCTGTATTTCGTTTTTCTTTTTAATTATTAAATGAATAGTTAAAAAGCAAATAGAAATCCAAGTTATATTATTAAATTAATTTTAGCCATAGAACTCAAGAATCTCTTGGTTTCTAGGCCAGCACCTTAACCATTACTTTGTTTAAAAAGGAGGAAGGATTGTCAAAATAACTTGTAAGAATTGCATGCGAAAACAGGGTTGGAGGAAACAAACTTGTAAAGCTGCAAACATCACAGATAACATTTCAGAATGATCTCCCATAGAATGATGCAAAAGACAAGAAGCTGTAGCAAATTACAATCTGAGATGGACCTGTAAGTAGGAAAGGAGACTAGAATGAGCAGTAATACTTTGCAAGATGCATCAAACCTGACGTCAAAATGTTTATCATTTATTTGCACAAGGCAAGCATTCTTTTTATTTGAAAACTACTCGCTCCAGTGAGGTGAGTGGCCGGGCGTGAAAAGGAGTGGCAAGGAGAAACTGGGCAAGGTGAGGCCTCCCTCGACATGAGTGATGTCAAGTTGGCCACACCCACCCAGTCACATGACCACCCAGCCATGCCTACCCAGCTGGTCATTGGGACAGAGAATCGGTTGTTAAATTATTTCAATCCCACCATTGGCCGCTGGATAGAAATTTGTTAGTTAAATTAACAAGCAAGGCAGCGTGGTTATTGGGCAACCCCCACCCCTCCAAGAATTTTGAAATTCAGCATTTAAAAGGTAGCTAAAGTGGAAAGAGAATGGGGGTCTATAGGTGACATAGCTATTTGGGATTTTTTCAGGACAAGAATCCTATTCATCTTAATGGTAGAATTTAGAATGGCCTTACCAAACCAATGCTGGTCACAGGCATCACACTACAAATCCCACACTCCCCCAGCCTCACTGAATGTTGAAGTCAAGGGCACCTGGGGGGAAAAGATCAAGCAGGAATAGTTGCCATTTATTGAAAAAAAAGCAATTGCTGACAAATTTGGAACACCATTCACTGTCGCTAATACACACAGCCTTCTCTTTCTAGGGTCAGGTTCCTGGCAATGAATTCAACAAGCATCAAAGCGGAATCAAAATGGTCTGATCCCATCACACTGATTCAAGGTAACTAGAAATGGGTACCACAAGCATCATCTATCACATGTCCAGCCTGTTGAAATCCCATTCATATTGTTTAGACAGTCACACATGGACCTACCTCTGTAATATTTCATATACACTAACTTGAAAATAAGCATTAAATTCAGCTGGGTTTCTTTCTGAAAAGGAGCAAAACCATTGTAGATGGAGTCTGCCTTTCTCCCCTGGGAGGGTTAATTTTAATATTGTGATTATTGTCACTATTAGTTATTTTCAACTCTCTGAAAACTCCCCAGTGTTGCTTCACGAGTGGGCAACCTTAGACATTGGAGTTAGACATTGGAGTTAATTTCACTGGGTGAAACCAGGCTTAACAGTAGTAACTGTGAGAGGGAACTTGGAGTCTTAGTGGACAACCAGTTAAATATGAGCCAGCAGTGTGTGGCGGCAACCAATAATGGTAATGCAATCCTAAATCGCATTAACAGAACTGCATTAACAGAGGGATACAATCAAGATCAAGTGAGGTACTAATGCCACTCTATAAAGCCTTGGTAAGACCACACCGAGAATACTGCAACCAGTTTTGGTCACCACACTATAAAAAAGATGTTGAGACTGTAGAAAGAGTGCAGAGAAGAGCAACCAAGATGATTAGGGGACTGGAGGCTAAAACATGAAGAATGGTTGCAGGAACTGGGCATGGCTAGTCTAGTGAAAAGAAGGACCAGGGGAGACATGATAGCTGTGTTCCAATATTTGAGGGGCTGCCACAGAGAGGCACCTGAAGGCCAGACAAGGAATAATTGACGGAAACTAATCAAGGAGAGATTCAACCTAGAAATAAGGAGAAACTTTCTGACAGTGAGAACAATCAACCAATGGAACAGCTTGCCCTCGGAAGTTGTGGGAGCGCCATCGCTTGAGACTTTCAAGAAGAGATTGGACTGCCATTTGTCAGAAATGGTGTAGGGTCTCCTGCTTGGGCGGTGGGTTGGACTAGATGACCTACAGTACAAAGTCCCTTCCAACTTTGTTAATCTGTTAGTTCACGATGCAAAATATGATATGTTTGACTATGGTTTAGTGGAGTGTTTCTCAACCTTGTTAACTTTAATGCGTATCAACTTCAACTCCTAGAATTCCTCTGTCAGCTTGCAAGATTGATGGTTGTCCTTCAAGATGGAACACACTAGAATGGCAGAGTTATGAATGCTAGTATGACTTTATTATAAGGTTCAAGTAACAGAATCTTGCAAGTCTCCATGTGCCTCCCTCATTCTTTTATCTTCATGAGAATGAGGGAGGGTCATGTCTGAGACACTTACTCAAATTACATTTCTGCTTTGGACTCAGGTTTCTTTTATCTGTCCATTGCCTTGGTCATGACTTTTCCTCCTGTTCCTCAAGGTTATTCCTACTTCCCATTACAGAGGTAGAAAATTTTGCATGGATCTTGCTAGAATTTGCAGTGAAATAAACATGAGCAGGAAACATTCTGCCCAGCCTTCATTGTTCTCTGACGGGATGGGAGGGATGTTCATCATACATTTGGAACTGTTTGTTGAGATGTTGGCTCTTGGATTTTACTTTCTTTTCACAACAAGAGCAATTTACTTTCTGAATATTGTTGGCCATTCTGCATGGTAATTCAAGGAAGTGTTGCAAAGGATAAGCAGCCTCTGAGGAACAGTTCACACTGTTGTATGTGAGTTACTTGTTGCTGAAAAAGTGGAAGAAAAAAACTAGAAGACCCATACGTATTACAAATAATTCAGATAGTCCTTAACTTATACCCATGTGTTCAATGTCAGAGTTATGACAGTTGCAGTATCCCCATGGTCTTGTGATCAAATTTGGATGATTGGCAACCGGCATGTAATTATGATGGTTGCAGTGTCACAGGGTTATGTGATCCTCTTTTGAAACCTTCTAACACAGAGGTCTCCAAACTTGGCAACTTTAAGACTTGTGGACTTCAACTCCCAGAATTCCTCAGCCAGCTGGCTGAGGAATTCTGGGAGTTGAAGTCCACAAGTCTTAAAGTTGCCAAGTTTGGAGACCTCTGTATCTAACAAATAAAATCTATCGGAAAGCCAGAGTCTCATAACAATCATGTTACTAACTTAACAACTGCAGTGATTCACTTAACAACTGTGGCAGGAAAGGTCATAAAATGAGGCAAAACTCTCTCAACAACTGTCTTGCTTAGCAACTGAAATTTTAAAGTCAGTTGTGGTCATAAGTCAAGGACTAACTGTAGAAATCCAGGAAGACTGGTGTTATGTCAACCTACCCTGTTGGAGGAGGTGTTTCTCTGCTCTCTGAATAATTCAGGTTCACGCTTCCCTGCATATCTTGATTTCAAGGAAATATTTCAGGCATTACAAAAACTATCCTGTCCTGGAGGAAGAGACATTCTTCTAAGATGGCACCTTGTGAAAGGATTACACGATAAAACTATACATTTGTTTTTTACCAGGGAAAAGTCATGACAGAATTGATGTCAAGCCCAGACGGCGGAGAATTGGAACGACCATCATTGCTACCATCCTCTCCATCCTCTCTGCTATTCTCCTGGCTGCTCTCATTGCCACCTTCATCTATAAATAGTATGTTTCATCTATCTATGAATATATGTACATACACACATCTATCTATCATATCTATCTATCCATCATACCTACCTACCTTCCTACCTACCTACTTTATCTATCTATCTATCTATCTATCTATCTATCTATCTATCTATCTATCTATCTATCTATCTATCTATCTATCTATCTATCTATCTATCTATCTATCTATCATACCTACCTACCTATGTCATATCTATCTACCTACGTAGCTACCTACCTATCATAACTATCTATCCATATATCTATCTACTTACCTACCTACCTATCTACCCACCTACCTACCTATCATGCCTACTTACCTGCCTACCTACCTATATCATATCTACCTACCTACCTACCTACCGTGTTTCCCCAAAAATAAGACTCAGTCTTATTTTCTTTTTGGACCCAAAATAACACTAGATGTTATTTTCGGGGGATGTCTTACCCACTTACCTTAGGACCACTGCAGCCATGCCTCCCACACCTGACACCAGTCACACCATTGCCTGATTTCTTCTGTGGCCGCTTGCAGCCACTTGCAACCAACACCGCATAGCTTGTCACATCGGTGCCGCTGCATGCAGCAGGAGGCTGCATCGTGTGTTGTGCCATTGTGAGAACGAGTGGCAGCACTGACATGATGAGCCTTGTGGCGTCCTGCTGCAAGTGGCCACAAGCGGCTGCAGAAAAAGTCAGGCAGTGGTGCGACAGGTGTTGGGGAATGGGAGGCCTGGCTGCAGCGGTCCTACGGTAAGCGGGTACGAGGCACGTGGGGCAGCTCCACCCCACCCCAGCTAGATTTTTACATCTGTGCCTTGCTCTACCTTGTACAACCAGATGGTGAGTGGGGCTTAACTAGAGCTTATTTTTGGGTAGGGCTTATATTAGGTGCAAGTGTGAAAATTGGTCTAGGAGCTTGTTTTCAGGGTAGATCATATTTTCGGGAAAACATGGTACATATACATATATGGGAGAAGAGCCTTATCTTGACCCAATCAGGTACCTTGAACCCATGGAGAAAGGTCCTTTTTTTATACTCTGTGATACAACTCACATGCTTGGAGTATTTTTCTTGACATTGTGAGATAGTTCACATATTTCACTAGAACACAAATTTGTTTGCTTTTAGGGATAAGAATCCAGCCATTGTGATTTGTACACCATTATTTAGAGCTTAGTACAATGTGTGAGGCCAGCCAAATGTGGCTTACTCAAAACCATGTTTAACAAATATTTGGCTCAGCACCATAGACAAACTCATCCATTTGGAAAGTCCTCCCAACTGTGAAATCTGGCCAAGAGAAAAAGATTCTTGCTGAATTTGGACTTGGACTGAATGGGATCCACTTGTCTAGGACAGTGGTCGCCAACTGGTGGGCTGTGAGAAAATTTTGGTGGGCCACAGAGAAATCTCACCCCCAGAGCACCCCCCCAAAGCAATTAATCCTGGCTGTGCAGAACACACAAGGCTGTGCCACCCACATGGCCCGTGGGAATCCTCCCTGCCCACTCACTCCTTTCCCGGCAAACTTGCCTGCTAAATTGCTATTTTTCCGACCATCAGCTGTTCTGTTGTGCTGGGAGATTTAGATTAGCTAGGAAGCAAGAAATGGTTGGATTTCTTGCTTTCTAGATAGTCTTTAGATCTTCAGGTCTGCTTTTAAGCACAGCCAAACCTCCCTTAGGACTGAAGGTTCTATTATTCAGTGCAGACTTATGGCAAGCGAATTTGAGAGACTGAGCTAGCCGATGGCAGATAGATAGATCACTGAATGTTTCTGTGAGCAACTCAATCTGTCTGCCTGCTTTGGCTGATTTTGGGTAAAAGTTGCTCTTTTTTTATAAAAAAAATTCAATATTTGCATACATGGTGTGTTGTGAGCTAATTTTGTGAGTTTGCTTGCAAGCAAATTTTATGTGACAGACTGAGCTAGCCAATGGCAAATAGATCTCTGAATGAATCTGTGATTCTGTGAGCAACTCAATCTGCCTGCCTGCTTTGCCTGATTTTGGGTAAAAGTTGCTCTTTTTTTATAAAAAATTCAATATTTATATAAATACTTATAATATTTACATACAAGCCATGCCCAGCCAAGCCACACCCACAAATTAGGCCACACCCACAGACTGGTTAGTGGTTCCTGGGATTTAAAATTATGAGTTTGGTGGTCCCTGAGGTCCAAAAGTTTGGCGACCCCTGGTCTAGGAGATGATGAACCTACCTAAGATTTTCTATACTGTGGGGAAAGTTTTCCTATACTGTGGGGGAAGTTTTCCACAGTCTTTGGTAGGTCTTCTCCAAATTTGCTACCTGAGATTCTACAAAGTGGGAACCTACTGTACTGAAAAACCACATTTCTCTAGGGTGACAGGCTGTCCTTCAAATAGTTTCTCAACTTCTAAGGGTGCTGTGGGAGGGCTGCCATAAAACAGATGGAGAAATATCAATGTTCTTGAACTACTAGGTAAGCTAATCCTATTATATTATAATTTCATTGTATACCATCTTCATTCCTTCTTTGCCTTTCTTTTCCACAGTTCCAACATTTGTGACAAACAGATGTCTACCAATTTTCCAGGAATGCAGGATCCAACCATAGTACGCTACACCTCTCATCAAATACTAGATCAGTTGTCCAACAACTCATGAGCTCCTATGTTGCTGAGGCTCAGTTAGTATTTTCTTTCCTTTTCCTGCCTGCTTCCTGTTTCATTTATTAATTGCAAACTTCCAGTTACATTTTATGTTTGAAGAGGGGCTGCCATCTCTCGTTTCTTGTCTGCTCAGAAGAAAAGGGAGGAAGTGAGCGTGGCTATCTTAAACTATGGCCATACATTCTGATATAGCCACACTCATATACCAACGATTTATATCTGTTGATGTGAGATCTTCATAGAATCAAATTGTTGGAAGGGAATGTGAAGGTCTTGTAGTCCAGGGGTCCCCAACCACCGGTCCGCGGACCGGTACCGGTCCCTGGAACAAGTCCTACCAGGCCGCTGGCTTGCTGGGCGCCGCCATCTTGTTTTGATGAAAAAGTGCTTCCGGTGAGCTCACCGGAAGCACTTTTTCATCAAAACAAGATGGCGGCGCCCAGCTGATGTCGGTACCGGGCCGCGCCATAAAAAAGGTTGGGGATACCGGGCCGCGGCGTAAAAAAGGTTGGGGATCACTGTTGTAGTCCAACCCTCTGTTGAAGGCAGGAATCCTCAGATCATCCCAGACCAATGGTTGTCCAACATTAGTTTGAAAACTTCCAGTGATGGAGCACCTAGAACTCCAGGTCAGCTGTTCTATTGCTAAATTGTTCTCATGGTCAAGAAATTCCTCTTTATTTTGAATTTGGGTCTCCCTCTATGAAGCTTCCATCCTCATCCAACCACCAGGAACTTTGGAAACAAATCCAGACCTTTTTCTCAGTGAAAGCCTTTCAGGTATTTGAGAGAAGACCAACAAGGATGATTAGGGGACTGGAGACTAAAGCATACAAAAATGGTTGCTGGAATTGGGTATGTCTAGTTTAAGGAAAAGAAGGTGACATGATAGTGGTGTTCCGATATCTTAGGAGTTGCCACAAAGAAGCAATGGATGGAAACTTATCAAGGAAAGAAACATCCTAGAACTAAGGAGAAATTTCCTGACAGTTAGAACAATTAATCAGTGGAATAACTTGCCTCCATAGGTGGTGAATGCTCTTACACTGGAAGCTTTTAAGAAGAGATATATACACTGTATGTATATATATGGAAGATGGCTTGATGTTTTTATGTTTTGTTTGTTTATATTTGTTTTAAAAACCAATAAAAATAAAAAAAAGAAGAGATTGGATTACCATTTGCCTGAAATGGTGTAGGGTTTCCTGCCTAAGCAGGGGGTTGGACTAGAAGACCTCCAAGGTCCCTTCCAACTCTCTTATTCTGTTAAAGTACTTATTATATGAGTTTGCATAACTTGTAAACCATGACATAATGGGAGTGGAAAAGGGTGAATTGGTTCAATGATTAACAGCTAAACACCACACAACTCTCTTAGCTGGTTCCCAATGCAATAATTTAAAAAGTTTTATTTCTATCTATCATGTAAACACTAAACAATTATTCTTGCTTAAATTGCCAAGAAGACGTGATGTATTTTGGTCCTCCCATCATACTTTCTAGGCTATGTGTTCATATGTCAATCCATCTTTGATCAGTCATTAGTAGGGTCCCTTGGAGTTATTTGTATCTCAGGAAAAGAGGTGGGGAATTCATATAATTATGATCAGCGGCCTCAAAATATTCTCATTGGTCAGTAGCAATAGCACTTAGACTTATATATTGCTTCACAGTGCTTTAGAGCTCTCTCTAAGTAGCTTACATACTGCCTCCAATCTGGGTCCTCATTTTACCAACCTTGGAAGGATGGAAGTCTGAGTCAACCTTGAGCCAGTGGAGATTGAACTGCTGGCAATGGGCAAAGTCAGACTGCAATACTGCATTCTAGCCACTGTGCCACCACAGCTCCAGTAATGAGAACATTCCATTTCGTTAATCAACCAGGACAACAGTGGGACAGCATGATCATTAACATATTCTACAGACATAGCTGAATAATCTGTGGAAAGAAACACCAGTGTGTGATACAATCCATGAAGACAAAGAAATGATGAAACATGGGCCGTGATGTCAGAATGTAAATCCCAGCTATAAAGGCAAGACATAAAGGGAGCCACCTCTAATTCCCATTACAACTTAATGTTATATTTATTCTTATGTAAAAAAAGGGATTTGTAATAGGGTTTCTCTGTTTTAAATCATTTGTTTTTGTAAAGCAAAATTATGAATGTTACTAAGAGTAAATTTATATTCTTTCACAGCCAAGATGTGATTGTATTATTTTATTGCATTTCCCAAGGAGATTTTTCTTTTAACTGGATTTAAAAAAAAATAGATATCACAAGGAAATTAATTTTCTTGGTTGGAGACTCAGTCACAGCACTCAACATCTTGAAAGAATAGGGACATAAAAGCTGGAAAGAATTCAGCAGTATTCTTAAGGAAACTAACTTCCACACTCGGAAAACTTTACATGGTTCTCTTTTGTGAATATAGCCTCTTCGTGTTCCTTTCAAACCACTTCAGGGAAGTTACTGAGGGAAAAAACTGGGAAAAAATACTGGACTTAATATAATTAGTTATAGCAGGGAACTCTGATTTATAGAGTCCCCCCAATATCTGACTTGTTTTTGTAACAAAAACTCAGCTTGGAAATCCTAGTAATAAGAATAAAAATAAATATTTGAACAGGGTGCAAATTCCACAGCCTTATGTTCAGAAAAATATTCTGAGAACCATCAACTTGGTGGGAATAAGATTCTCTAGATCTGTATTTTTCAAAGTTGGCAACTTGAAAATGTGTGCTAGCTGGGGAATTCTGGAATTGAAATCTACACATCTTCAAGTTGCCAAGTTTGAGAAATGCCAATCTAGACGAACAACATTATCCTAGCCAGCTAGGATAATGTCTATTACACAGAAAAAAAATTGCAGTGTTTACAGGTATTCCAATTATTTTTACTTAAATATATTCAATAGCAAAAAGATTTTTATTCCCAAATAAAATACTAGTCCCATTATAGAATAATTGATATTAGCCTTTATAACATTGGACTTTAAATTGGCATGTTTGCCTGCAAACATTCCCTAACTCTATTGTTGCCACATCAACTGAACATTTATAACAAATACTCTTACTGTGCCTTAAAAAAAGAACAAATATAACACTGAGAAAAGCTAAAGAGATAAATATTAATATTATTTGAAAAATGAAAAATTGTTAATAGATCGACCAGAGGAAAATGATCACTATATATGCCCCCCTGTCTATCTGTATGATACACACACAAACACACAAACACAGCTATAGATATATAATATACCTGTCCTACAATTAATACAATGTGATCAAAAGTAGCTAAAATACTTTTTTAAAAGAGGCTAATGAGGCACTTTAGAACTACCTCTGGTAGAAAAGAGGACACTAGAATTTTTTTTAAAAAAGCCTTTTTATAATAGATTGCTTTCTGAGTGAAGCAAAACTGGAATACATGTTTGCATTGTGCAGAGCAAAGGGCACGTGAAATGTGCAAAAGGATTTCAGCGACCTGCTCATTAAACCTAAGCAGCAGCCAATGGGGGAGTACTGTGGTATCAGTGGATTAAAAAAGGCAAGATGGCAGCCACAGCCAAAGCAATCCTCACTATTGTGCCGCATTACTACAGATAGGGCACTAAATGAATGGCGGGGCCCCTCCAATTTATGGAGGGTAAGACACATTTATCATAGGAACTGGTATGGGATCTAGATCTCCTAGATTTTTCTGCCTAGTAAGTAGATTTATTGATGAGCAGAACCAACACACACACACACACACAGCATGCAGTTCTGGGACAGTTGACCAATTGGCTTGGGTTTTTATATAGTTTTTTTATAGCATTTTGTAATCCAGGGGCTTGCTTTCTGTGTTTTATTATTGGTTGGTTATGATTGGTTTTACTTGTTTCACAAAGGCTCAAGATGAATCTTAATTATCACTTCCTCAGTCCTAATCCTATCAGGCATGTGTAAGTGATTTTATCCTGTTATCTATTGCCTCTAGTCTGTCTTTCGAAATGGACAGGTATTGTTTCCACTTTTCTCAATGAATGGGGTTAAGGCAGGGGTCCCCAACAAGTCCTACCGGGCCGCTGGCTTGCTGGGCGCCGCCATCTTTTTTTGATGAAAAAGTGCTTCCGGTGAGCTTTTCCGGGTAGAAAGCTCACCGGAAGCACTTTTTCATCAAAAAAAGATGGCGGCGCCAGCGCTTCCGGTGAGCTTTTCCAGGTAGAAAGCCATTTCTACCCGGAAAAGCTCACCGGAAGTGCTGGCGCCGCCATCTTTTTTGATGAAAAAGTGCTTTCGGTGAGGTCACCGGAAGCACTTTTTCATCAAAAAAAGATGGCGGCGCCCAGCTGATGCCGGTACCGGGCCGCGGCGCCCAGCTGATGCCGGTACCGGGCCGCAGCATAAAAAAGGTTGGGGATCACTGGGTTAAGGTCATATCCTGTCTTTAATCCCATCACCTGGACATGAAGGTATTTTGTGAATAGGCTGGCCCAGGATTTCTTAATAGGCACCTGTGGAAAGTTATTAAGAAAGACTGGGAGCTGCTTTCTGCCTCTAAGAACATGTTTTTCCATTGGGGAAATATAATATTCCGCTTCTTTTAATATTCCCTTAAATATTTCATTCTCTGTGGGTGGGGGGGCTGACTTCCTATAAGATTTAAATAAACACAAAAGAATCTGGGAACAATTGGTAATTAATGTTATTGTGAAAAGCTAAGAAGCCATTAAGAAAGAATTCCAGCGATTAGTTTGCATCAAATGCAAATCCTACATATAGTGAAATAACACTTCAAGTTCTTTTTCTATTCCTATTCTTCCTGCCCAAACTATGCAAAAGGCTGGAGGCTAATTTCTTTGGGTAGAAGACCTGGTTTTCACCTACCTTTTGTTTTAGCTATGATCTCACATCTGGTTGCTTTCTTCCGACTGCATAAGAACTATTTCCACTAAGTGCTACAATTGAAGTGCAGTATTAGAAATTTAAATTTGTTCATGGTGAGAGTAGGGATTATCCTGGGATAATCAGA